AGCGGATGTCCGATGATAGAAAATCCTCGAACAATTTTTTTCCCTTCTATATCACTAGAAAAAGATAGAAAAGTAGCTTTTTTAATAGAGCATTTTGGTATACACACCACACCGCCTTGCCCCTTTGTCCTCATCCACGACTTTTTCGTCTAATAACCTTTTGCGTCTTTCGAGGTTATGCATGAGTAGTCCACACGACAGCCACAAAAACTCTTTGCATAAACCTCGGGATTTCTTGTTTAGTCGACCCTAGTTGGTCCATTCTCATGATATGACCAACGAGCCATCAAATAAGGGGTTCTCGGCTGCACACCAAGGCATAACCACTCCTCTGATCCTAGAACGGATCTTGAAATGGATCTTTGAGGATAGTGATGGGTGGTGGCCAGTTCCTGAACTATCCAAAAGGCCCCAAGAGGAGAATCCGAATTTAACCGATGATGAGTGTGAGGACTACATCACAAAAGGGGGGTGCTGATTCGCTGCGCTCTAGTCAACAAACAATGGTTCTACGAAGCCACGCGTGTCCTCTGGTGGCATTGGAAAGACCAAAGTTGCTGCCACTCTTTGTTCACAGAAATTTTCGGGAAGATCCAGCCGACGCGCCGACAATTCTACGCCAACTTGATTCATCGCGCGGATTTGCTCGCGATTGAAGAAGACCATCTTTTTCAGGTAGCTAGAACTACCTTCGAGGGCATAAAATTTCCAAACCTCAAGACTCTCCTTCTTCATGTGCCTGGAAATTGCAATTACGTCACCCACAGGGTAGAGGTCCCTATATTCTACGCTCCACGATTAGCAACTCTGTTGATCGACCCTCAGTATGATTGGCTTCCAGTCAGCTACTCTGTATCACAAGATGAATGGAAAATGCTCTTTGAGCTTATTACTGTGAGTTACTAATATTATCTCTTAATATTTGCAAGGTTTATCACTAAATGAAAGACTATTGCAGTTCCGCTTTCCAGATATTGAGAACATCGAGTTCGTGGATAACGCTAAGGTTTGGCCGGGTGAGATTCAGAAGCTCACGGATCGGCTCCCACATCTTAAATCCTTGCGTATAGACCGCGTAGTAGAGAGTACAGTGACGGGACGAAGGGCATGACTCTTTCGGCTGGCTAGGAGGCCTTGTTGATACCTAATAACCCGTCCAATATCTACAATATCGCTTTCTTCGCTACGTTATTCTTTCAGATTTAGTAGTCACACGTTATAACTTGTTAAGAAGGCTTCTAGGACAATAAAAGCGGTTTTCAAATGAAAGCCTATAAGGAGCGTCGTGCCAGTACCCATTATAGCAGATAGAAACTTTTGGAACCTTTCTGCAAGTCAGCCCTCTCCTCTTCCTATTCAGATGGCCAAAAGATTGGTTGAACCTGGCAGTTGGAGACAGGATTACTAGCTTCTCCAAATTTGGACTCTACCCACACGGAATGGACCGATAGTCCGACGGCTAATACTGGCTGAGCGGGGTGGGGGAAATGTTGGAGATGCATCGGCATAACGCGAAGACGGTCGGAGAAGCCTGGATACTGCTCCAAGTTATGAGAGGGCATTTCCCCAGGAGACAAGAAGTACTTTGAGGTGAACGAATTATAGCAAATCATCCACCTGGCTATTTTTTTCAACATGCCGAAAAGAGTTCTGATTGCGTATTGCATTGACGTCGACGCCTGCGCGAATTGGTAAGTTCGGAACAATAGCCGATGGGTTCTCTTTTGACACACTCTGACTGTTCATGAAGGCTTAACACAAAGTCTGGTTCGCAGGCAAACGCCAGTGATGTTTCGCGCGGTGTATTCGGCGCCAACGTCGGCACCGACCGGCTGCTCAAGTTCTTCGATCAGCAAGGCATTAAAGCGACCTGGTTCATGCCCTCGCATAGCATCCTCTCCTTCCCCACCCAAATGGCCAAAGTGCGCGATGCTGGACATGAGATCGGGCTGCATGGATACACGCACGAGTACGTTTCGCAACTAACCGAGGCGCAGGAGCGCAAGGTCATGGCGAAGAGCATCGAGGTCTACAAGGAGTTCACGGGAAAACACCCCCGGGGCTGGGCTGCTCCTGCCTGGGAGGTCTCCCCACGCAGTATGAGCATTCTCGAGGAGTTTGGTTTGGAATACGATCACTCCATGATGCATCATGACTGCCAGCCCTACTACGTGGCCGACATGGGAGACACAGTCATTCACACGGACTACTCCAAAGATCCAGACGAGTGGATGGTGCCCATGAAGGAGCAGGTGCCGACCAAGATTGTTGAGCTGCCCGCTTCGTGGTTTATCGATGATTGGCCCCCGATGCAGTTTTCGCATCGCAACCCGGGCACTCTTGGGTTCGTCAACCCCGAGGATGTAGAAAGGCAGTGGCGAGACCAATTCAGCTTCTTCTATCGCGAATATGACACATTCATATTCCCTATCAGTGGGCACCCGCAGGTCAGCGGTCGGTCCAATGTGCTTCTCATGCAGGAACGGTTCATTGAGTGGCTCAAGACCCATGAGGGAGTCGAATTTATGACACTGGAGCAGATTTGTGATGAGTATAAATCCGGAAAGATTGCTGGAGCTTCAGTGACTGCTGGCGTTTAGTTTCCGGTGTTTAGTTTCTAAATGAAATAGCTAGTCAAACAGAGTCATGATGCATTCATTCCACATAATGGACAATATATTTCGTCTTTTACTGTTAAGTTACTTATTAGTCTGAGTTCCATTTAACCCAACAAAAAGTAAAAGTCTCCTTATTTATCGCCGTAATCTCCTAGATTAGTGTGATGCAGTGGCTGAAGCAGCATACTTGTAGTACTTGGCAGCCGTCCGTCGCCTCTCTGCCTTCCCGAACCAAATAAAAGGAAAAAATGTGAGCGACAGCCCAAATGCCAGCATAGCAACTGTGAGGAAAGTATTCTGTATACCCTCAGCTTCTACCCAAGGAGTGATAGCGTAGGAGGCCGCGAACCCCATTGTGTCACGGATAATGGTCATGGTTATCATGCCCTCTCCGGTGAGGTCTCTGTAACTGTCGCTGATGTATGCGATAGGAGAGGCACCGCACACAACCCCGGCGATGCAGACTATACCGCCTCCAATCACGACACCAATCCAATGGATTCCATTGGCGCTGCCAACACCGTACAGAAGGTTGCCCACGGTGAGTGTCACCGTTGCCATGACGTACAGAACCAGGCGCTGCTCAGGCTCGCGCACTCCGCCATTGCGTCGCGCTGCCCAGTTGTGGTACCAATCTGCGAAGCGACCAGAATAGAGACCTCCGATGAGACTGCCAATAAAGGGGCCAATATACATCAGACCAACGGTGCCGCCGGTGAAGTTGTAAGGACTACCTCCGAAGATGGTGGTCCACGTGCCGTTGAGGATGGTAAACATCATCAGGAAGAGACCATTCTGAAAGCCACTCATGGCAATAATGGGGAACTCGTACGCCAGTTTCAGCGAACGAATCATCATTGGCAGGATGATATTCTTCTTGTTGGGCACTACCGTGAAGAGCCGTCGGCGTTCCCACCAGGTCGGTTGTTCATATATCAGCGTGACCGGTTCGTCAGTCGAGGAGGCTTCAAAATTTTTGATCTCATCGACAGTCATGGTTGGATCTTCTGCGCTCGCATTTGGAACATTTGCTCTGGCCTCTGTGGCCCGACGCTCTGCATTTTCTCGCATCAACGCACGGTCATACATGGACTCGTCCAGGACGAAGAAAAGAAGGATGGCAGTCAACCCGGTAAATACCGCAGGGAAGTAGAAGCACCATTTCCAGTCCATATTCTGCGCCACATATGCGGAGGCAATGGGAGTTACGTATGAGCAACCTCCAAGCCAGACCATGAACCATCCAATATGGGTGCCTCGTTCATGAGTGAAGACTGTGAAGTCAGTATGGTCTTTCGTAGCTTCATTTTTTAGCCGCACTCACATATATCAGTCATGGACTGTTCCACCAATGCCTCAATAGGCGCACCAAAGAAGCCATACAAGAATCTATGGGCGTACCAGGTCCCGACGGTGGTAGTATAGGGAGCCCAGAGGTTCATGACCTGATAATTGTTCGTTATCATGGTACTCTTCGTCTACAGAAAATATAAAACATACCGTGCAGCCAATACAGGAGATAATGTAGACACCACGACGGCCGTATTGAAGCCCTATCGGGCACCACAGCAGAGTTCCCCAGCCAAACATGAGGAATAGCACACCAATGGCGCTGTTCAGCGTCGCCAGGGGTATTCCCGTGTTGGCAATGATATAGGGATACGTGGAATAGCCTGTCGCAGAGCCTGCCCCGATAATGAAAGTGTAGCTGGTAGAGTTAGACAATACTTCTGTGAAATTAAGCATTAGAAAAAAAAAGAATACTCACAACTGCAGAGTGATGGAGTTGACCCATTTCCTTTTTCTGGACCAATTCAGCGGGTCCTGGGGGTCCTCGCTGGGTGTTGGATGCAGGACAACATCACCATCGCGTTTGACACCCTCAACTGTCTCCTGCTCATCGATCAAGTAGACAGTACCAGGCACCTCGTCTTCAATGGCAGCATCGCCTTGCTGCGGGTTTACGACCATGGTGGATCCGATCAGATTAGGACAAAGATGCGAGGTGTGTTGATGTCGGGGCCAGGTCTCCCTGGCCGAGGGGTTTTATAATAACAGTTCGAAAACACGGAGGGATAATCAACAAGGAATTCATTGCCTAGGGATTGTTCGAGTCACGACCTTCTTCTGGTCAAGGTTCGACCTAAATTAGTGGATATCGCGTTGTTCCGACATGAGCCCCACAGCACTACTCCAGGCCAATCTCGACCAGCCATCTATAGATCAGTAGCCTCATCTGTCGGACATGACCGAGATGCAGCGGAATGAGCGGTGATTCCGTCGGACGGATGCCTTGAAGAGGGGGGAAGCATTGATAAACTCCCGGTCGACACGAAATGACCTCCACGTTCCAATCATTTCCTTCTCCGTACCTCACTCGACATGCCGAGCGAGCTGAACATTGTCGTGGCCGGTGGCGGTCTTGGAATTGGCTTCCAGACCGTGACATATCTCTTGCAGCACACAGCGGCTAATTTGGTCGTCTTGGACGTCGAAATTTCGCAATTGACTGTGCTACAACGGGAGTACCCAGATCGGTTGTGGGCCATCGCCGGCGACATCACCAACAGAGGAGACCGGGAGAAATTTAGAGAGCTCGCTCTCCAAAAGCTGCAGACAATCACCTCGTTGGTTATCACCGCCGGCGTGATTGGCGAGATTGAGCGGATCGCAAGATTTAGCCCTGATCGCCTCTTGAAGACCTTTAATACTAATTTGATCGGTCCTATCTTGCTGGTGAGTTTTGCCATTGCACGTCGTATCGTGCGGAAATCGCTGAGACCAGACAGTGCCAATCCCTATTGGGAGAGCTCCGGAAAACAAAAGGACGAGCGATCATTTTGTCCTCGGCTGTGGATAAGGACATCAAATACGCCGGTTGGGCCCAATACTGCGTATCCAAAGCAGCATTGACTAGAGCCATCGAGCTCCTGGCACATGAAGAGCCCACCATCAATGTACTGGGCGTGTATCCGGGATTAACCCGGACTGGCATGCCGGCCGACATCATCGCAGGGAAATACAAGGGGACCATGTACGACTTTGAAGTCGAGAAGTTTCGCAATTGGGATGAGACTGGAGAGATTGAGCCTCCAGAATGGTGTGCGAACGCAGTGGCCCAGTTGGCGGCAGGAGTCGTCGTGGGACTCCCTAGTGGGCATGTGGACTACTATTATGAACATGTTCCTCGCTGTAAGGATGGTTGGCCGAAGGCCCGTTTGTGATATTGATAGATATTTAGAGTCAGGAATCTTGCTTTTTGAAGATTGGCATACTCATTTTACCTATGACAGTATGTACTTGGTTAAGGTAATGATAGACTTATTTCACAGCGAGTAGCTACAAAGTTGACTACATAATTAGTGGATAGTCCGAGCAAATGTCTAAAGATGACGACCCCTCTCTTTGATAAATAGATAACTGATTGCTTACTCTTCCATATATCTATAACGGTAAGCTACTAAAAATTCAATGGCAAATACTATAATGAAGACTGTCACAGGTTCGGTTATTACAGGAGACGTTCAGCCAGTGACGGGCACTTTATCATGGTGCAAGCAGGAGAAAGGCCCCATTTACTACGGTGGACCGAGAACTAGCCGGACAGTATTTCGATTTTCTAGAGTTGTACTAATTATTAATTTAATTAACAGCTTGTATCCGCCGCCGGCTGTCCTGTATCGCGCTATTCCGACATCCAAAAGCCGGAGAAACGCACGGCCCCAAAGGATCATGGAGTTAAAATAATACACGTCCTATTATTGCCTCTCAAGACAAGAACGCTACCACCAGGTGATTACGCTACGAAAGTCATCATGCTCGAAGTGACTTGTAAAGGCACTCCCTACGAAGTATGCTCGCCCCCATCTTGTCAACAGCATACAGCTGACCAGTTAGATCGGGTTCACACATGGTTCGCAGGCCAAGAAACAAGTACGAGGCAGTATTGCATTCTACGACACACTCTTCCAGTCCTCAGCACAGCTACAATGGCCTGAGGTGCGCACGAAAGCAGACCAGTTCCTCGGCCATGCCGAAACCAACTACCCGCGTTACTACGAAGAGATGAAAGGCATCGCCGACGGGGCAGAAGTTCCCTTGGTTGACATCATGGCTCTCAATGCTCGCAGCGAGATCACATTTGGACTGTTTGTGGAGACAAAGAAACAAGTCGACAGCGATGGATGTACCTCGATGGCGTTTAAGATGGCGCAGACTACTTTCATCAGCCAGAACTGGGACTGGATGCAGGAACAAAAGCCTAATCTAATTATCTGTCGCGTCTCCCAGACCGGAACGGACCTGCCAGATTTCCAGATGGTCACTGAGGCTGGCATCATTGGAAAGATTGGCTTCAACAACGCCGGTGTGGGCTGCTGCTTCAACGCCATTCGCGCGAGAGGGATGGACCCGACGCGCATGCCGATTCATTTTGGGCTGCGCACTGTCCTGGAATCTCGATCGAAGGAGCAGGCCATTGCGACGCTCAAAGAGCACGGAGTTGCAGGGAGCGCCCATTTGCTGATTGGAGACAAGAATGGTGCCGTTGGCCTCGAGTGCTCACACGTGGGGTTCCAAGAGATCCATGCCGATGACCGGGGACGTGTATGCCATGCGAACAATTATATCGCACAACACGAAAATGTGTATGAACCCGTGTGGCTCCAAGACTCGCCGGTCCGGACGGCGCGGATGCGCGAGCTGGTCACTCCTGAAGTGATGAAGCAGCCCAATTTCTCGTCCATCCGAGAACTATACAAGGACGAAACGGGACTACCCTGTGCCATAAACCGTAAACAAGAAGGTATCAGCCGCAGTGCTACCTTGTTCAACGTCGTGTTCGACTTGGGGTCCAAGGAGGGGATTGTAACTATCGGGAGACCTACAGAGCCGGAGGAGGAGATCAAATTTGCGTTTAATTAAAATATAGTGAAAGAAAGACTAATTATCAAATACTACTACAGTGATGTAGTTCCCACTCTATTTCGTCCTTCTTATGTCGCCCTTTTCCTCACCAATCTCTTCGATAATGTGGTTTGGAACCACCACGCGATCTTCCGTGAAGTACAGGGTATCTTGGATGTGGAAATATGCCAGATAGGCAAAGATCAAGATACCAGTAGTGTACAAGGCAAAGAGTACACTCGCCTCTCTCTCGAAAGGAATGAGCGTCGAGTCCGCACCAAAGATGATGGCTTCACCGGCAGCGAGCACACCGCGCCAGATGCCAGAGTAGTTGGCTGCTTTCAGCGGGTCATTGGACAGTGCTCCAAGCCAGTATACCACTAGATATTGCCATAGAGATGATGCGACCCAGTTCATGATGAAGAGCACACAGATGGGCGCAAATCCATCGTCGGTCCAGTCCATCGTCACCTTGGGAGGATTGTGACGGTCGTAGTCACGCACCCGGATAATCTCCCAGATCCAAGCAGCCATGAGAGGGATACCAACGAAGGCGAGACCAGCAAATGCTCGGGACCGGCGTCGCCAACTCTTGTGATCCAACAATGCCTGTAGGGCAAACCCACAAGGGACCTGAATGACAAGCGCAACGAAGCCCAGCAGACAGCGAGTGCGAAGGTTGTTGTGAAATGCATTCGCCGAGCCAGAATACACTAGAAAGGCCTCCGCGGGAAAGAAGGCTGGAAACATGAGCAACAGCTTCCAGTCTTTGACAGCATCGATGTTCGCTTTGACTGCCTCCTTGAACTTCATTGGCTCGACCTCAATCAAAGAAGAGCCATCGTTGCGGCGCACCTTGCTTGGGGACACCAGGAGAAGACCCAGTAGCGACATCAGCATCATCAGGACAATGAAGGTGATGTAGACCGCAGCTGGGACACCGGCGGACGAGCCTGTGTCCTTGATATCTATCCCCAACGCAATACTGCTGCCCACAATAGAGCCAAATGCCTGCAAACCCATTGCCGTCACCACATACTTTCCTTTCTCATTCTCTTCCGGGTAGCATAGCTGGATGTAGCCGCTCACCACGAACAGAAATCCGGCGCCGATGCCATTGAGACAGCCAGCGAAGATAGGGAACGCACGCCCGCCGACTTGGTCAAAATACCAGAGAGAACCAACATAGACGGCATATCCCAGGACTCCCAGACTGGTGGTGATTCCTGGGCCGAGATATTGCATGATAATCGAGGCAACGAAACTGGTCACAACCCAACATGCACACAAGCACGAATTTACGATGGAAGTGACGGCCTGCGAGTCTGGCCGACCACCGCCGGCGCCCAGGATGTTGAGCGCGACATAGATTCCCGCCGTAAAGGCGACGCAGAGGCCCGAGATGATGTTCTGGGTGAAGGGGCTGTGGAGTCGCAGCATCCTGGATGTCTTGCAGGTGCCATGTGGATCGAGGCGCTTGTGCTGCTCTTATGATGTTGCGGCATGTTCGTTCAATCACCAACTATGAGCAGCGGAACAGCGCGACAGAGCGGACCAAGGCGAATACCAGACCAACGGTACCCCCACAAAAGCATATCTCCCCGGACTGCGGTAACTGATAGCGACTTCGGTTATCCAATACTCGTGTAGGTCCCGACCCACTGCGGAGGACCTAAGGATTGACACTAGGACCAGACATGATAAGGCCCGTCGTGGTAGTCCGACCCCCCATCCTTCTCCCCTAACAGGGGTCATGACACACTATCATGCCGCCCAAAATGCATCGAGCCGCACAGGCCTGCGCCCGATGCTACAAGCGCAAGAAACGCTGTGACCGGGGGGTGCCAGCCTGCTCGGGCTGCCGGAAGGCCAATGTGGAGTGCCACGGCATCTCGCGCAGCGACAATACGCAGATCCCTCGCAATATCGCGCGCTTCCTCGAATCCGCCATTGCGGACCTGGAGCTGCAGCTCGGCAATAGAACCGCTGCAGCAGCTGTCGGACACCAATGCGGCGACGCTATGATTCCCAGAGGCTTCATGGCGCCTTTGCCGCCGCAGTTCTGTCCGTCGATTACCCAAACGCAGGCGGTACCGTACAAGGCCTCATTCCTGCAGCAGTCCAACTTTCCCCCCTCGGTGCGACTGCGGCCACACTTGAGCAGGAAGAGGGGCGAATTTTCCTCGGAACCCCTTGATAGACGGAAGCTAGCTGCCTTGGCCGTGCCTGCCGCCGTCGCCCGGACCTTGTTTGACGTGTACATCAATCGATTGTTGCCTCAATATCCCTTGTTCCACCCTGCCGAGCTGGAGCATGTCTTTGCGCGGGTGTACGTGCAAGGCGTACAACAGCCATGGCTAAGCGCAGAAGACCAGCGCCACATGTTTATCGCCAGCATGGTGCTCGCGAACAGTGGCTGCGCATACAAGTTCAACGACTTGGGGCGCAATCGCTCCTTCTACGCCTCTCTTCAATCCGATGCATTATCGATGCTAAGTTGTGTACACCACACCTCTCTCGAAAGCTTACAATGTATGCTGTTGCTTGTTCAACACGCCCTGCTAAACCCACAGTCCGGTTCGTTGTACAATCTGGCTGGAGATGCGATGAAAATTGCCATTGCTTTGGGACTGCATCAGGAACCTGTCTGCGTCGATCTTAATGAGTGCGACCTGCGGCGGTCTCTTTTTTGGGCGGTATGCAAGTAATAGAAGGAACCTGGAAACCGTATACTGACTACATTAGTCCTATGTCCTCGACCGCTCCATAAATATCACTGGTCATAGACCGTTAGCGCTGCGGGATGAGCATATCACCGTTCACCACCTTACTGACAAATCCCGAGTACACTTCGTCAACCACGTCCGTTATCGACAATTGCAGTCCGAGATGTACGCAGTCCAATTTCACAACAAGCCCATCCCTTCAGGTAGCTACCAGGAGTGGATGGATGATATGGGGGAGCGCATCATGGCCTGGCGATCGTCAGCGTTGAGCAGTCTCCAGGCACCACCAGAATGGTTTGACTTTGGCACTTGGACTTGTGTCGTCCTTTTGCACCGCCCGTGCATCCGCAACCCCATTCCATCCGAAGCGTCTATCAAAGAGAGTTTTGAAGCGGCGGTGCGCATATCTGATGGTAATTCATAATATCCTTTCGTTACCTTGTTGGGGTTTCTGACGTGTCACAGGATATTGGGAACAGTCGCAAAATAAGCATGTCAAATATACCTTTCATGCTGTTCATAACGCCTTCGAGTCCGGCCTGGTGCTGCTTTATGCCATAGAAGTGGCACCGGATATCTTGCGCCAGAACTACGGAGTCAAGCGTGTGCTTGACGTCGTCAATCAGATCTCAGCGCTGTTTCTGGTTATTTCCAAAAGTTGGCCGGACGCCATGCTGGTCGGGGATCGGTACGACGAGCTGCAAAAGGCCGTCACGAAACGTTTCGTCCAAGGACCCGATGAGGAAACTGCCTATGACTCTGGGCTGCTCGATTGTCTGCGTGACATGCTCTTCCGTGTCAATCGTGACGCTCGCTTCTCAAAGCCAGGACATCAATTTCCCGTATCACCAAGTGACCAGGGCAGCGGTCAATGGTCGAATTTGCTAGCACCGCAACTAGAAGCCCAATCAGCTTTGGCGCTGGGTCCCTCAATGGACATTGACATGGAGTGGTTGGCGAGAAACACGCTTGATGATAGCTGGGAGTTCTCTGTCTTCGAATGGCCGGGGTTTCCATCGGATGCGGCAGAAACTCTCTCGACGCCCGCGGTAGCCACCCCGCCAGCACTGGATCGCGCAGCGGTTAATACGGCAATCGAGTTGTTGCCAGCATGCGGGCAGTGCCGGGAGCGTCGAGTGCGCTGTGATCGAGGATTTCCCTCGTGCCAAAACTGTCGCTCTTCAGAAACCGAATGCATGCACAAAGACCCCGTCTCGGGAGAAATGACGCCGCGCAAGTACATTGCCGCCCTGCACCGCACGTTCGCCAGCCTCATGGATGAGTGGGAGTCCACCGAGCCTACCAGCATGGGGCTTATCGAGTCGGTCAGCCCTACCACCTCGTCAGTTGACTACGATAAATTGCAGCTCTTCGGCCCATCCACAGCAATGGCAGAAGTAACCGCAACGCCAACGGCGGGCGTCTATTCACAGCCAGCAGCACGCTCAGATGAGTCCTCATGGTTTCTCTCATCGGGATGTAGCATGGACATACCGCCGCCTCATGTGCGCAGCGAGATCTTGCCCGAAATGAAACCGCTCAATCTCATCTACCCGATATTCCAAGAAACAGACGAGTTTTTCTATTCATTCAGTCAGAAGCAAGACCTACCGGCCACCGCAGAGAATCTTCTCGTGATCGCCATCTGCCTCCAGCTGCGCAGCAAAAGCGATCCGAGATACAGAGGCCCCGCCATGGCCTATTTCAACGGCGCCCTCCACAAGCACAGCACCATAGAGTTCACGACCCCAAGCATCCCGCAAATCCAGGTTTTCGCTCTGGAGTGTCTCTTTATCCTACTCTGCCCCACGGCAGGCGACATCTGGCGTATGAGCGGCGCTGCCGTGCGCGCCTGCGTCGAGCTCTGCGAGGAGTACAACACAACCGACGACTCCTGCTGGCTACTCCTGCGTACCGTCTTCTGCTTGGAGATCAGCATATGCGTAGCTCTCGGACGACCCCCACAGTCACCCTGTTTATACGAGTCCCTCAAGCTCGATGTACCACCCACCCATGCCGCCGAAGCATTTCAGATTGCCCTGTGCAACGTTTCATGGCTGCAAGCCCTAGATCTGATTGATCTGCTCGCTGGCGTGCCATCCCCAGTACGATTGGAAACCATTTTCCCAGGCCCCTACAACGACCTGATGCTGGACCAGTTCTCGCAATACCTTCATGCTCGGGCACTCCGCTCGCCGACCTCAATGGCACAGGCGCTCTCAATGGATATGGTCCGTACTCGCTTCCCGTTTTCGTGGGTCGATGCGCATGAAGTCGCGGCTGCTATGCTAC